CAGGAAGCAGACGCGGCTGTGGACCAACATGCGCTGGAGGCCGAGGCGAGGCCTGTGCAGGCCCGGCAGCCGCTGCGGCGCGTGGCAGGACGGCAGGCACCTCCGCGCCGCGCAGCGGGGGCTGCGGCTGATGGAGGGGCAGTGCGAGAGGGTCAGCCAGCAGCCACGCGAGCTGCTCTACGGCGTTCCTGCTGCGCTGTGCGACGAGATTGCGCGCGCGGCCACGGCGGAGCTTGCGGAGCGGCTGAGCATTCCGGACTAGGTGGCTTCCCTGCAACCAGGGAGCCTGGAAGATGCCCATTTTTTCTATGTTTTTGCTGTTTTTTTGGGCGCTGCCACCTGTAGTCAAAAACGACTAAGAAGGGCAGCGGGCCTTTTTTTGTAATTTTTTGGGCGCAGTCGTCTCTAGTCAAAAACAACTAAGAAGGACAGCGCGCTTTTTTTTAGTCCAGCACAGAGACGCCCGTGCCGGAGAGCGTCACCAGCTGGTAGGCCACCAGGTGGATGAACAGGTCCGTCATCGTGCCGTCCAGGCCCTTGAAGGTGAACCGGGCAAGGTCGCCCGAGCGGGTGCTGACACCACTCAGCGGCATCTTGGGCACGCGCTCGGTGGGAAAGCCGGCAATGAAGCTGTGGCGCAGGTAGCCCACGCGGCCGATGTCGATGTTGCGCACCGTGTCGTCGTAGGTGCCCGCAAGGACCGAGAGCATCTGAGACTCCAGGAGGCCGATGGGTGCCCCGGGTTGGCCAGCAAGTGGATCTTGGAGCCCGCGTCGTTGTCCCAAAAGGTCACAAACGCGCCCATGAGTTTCGTGAAGGCGCGCGCCACGGTGACGTTGTGTTCCGCCGCGCCGTTCGGGACGCTGGACTGCTGCGTGTGCACCGTGGGGTAGCTGAACACCAGGGACCTTCCTGAGAGGAGCACGCGGTTGAAGGACTCTACCAGCGCAGAGTCCAGGACGACCTGGGAGGCCAGAACTCGGACGTTCTGGATCTCGAAGTCGGTGCTCAGCGTGGCCCCCGCCGGGTGCGCCCCGGCGTTCTCGGACCACAGCGCAGTCGTGGCGTCCGCAAACTCAATTTCTATCACCAGGTTCAGCTGCGGCGGCAGCATCTTCCCGCAGCGCAGGATGCCCACCATGGTGGGGCGCAGCAGCACGTCCGCGTAGCCGCCCTGGTGCACCGCGCGGGCGATGCGCGGGTCGTTCACTTCGTCGAAACCCTCCATGGCCTTGTTGCGGTTGTACTCTCGGCCCTTCAGCAGGTCATGCACGGCCACGGTGCGGCCGTAGTAGTTGATGTCGTCGCAGCGCTGGCCGTTGGCGAAGACCTGGACGCGCTGGACGAAGCAGGCGGGGTTGGGCGTGGCTGGGGCCAGCGGGTTGGTGCCGTCCGTGTTCCTGACGCGGAAGGCAATCTTGATGGACTCGGGTCGGATGGATGGATCTTGAATGGATGTCCTCGTCGTGATGAAGAGTTCATGGTAATGCGTCTTCAGCATCTCATAGGAGTAGTTTTCTAGTGAGATGTTTCTCAATGACATTGCACTTGTCAGTCTCTCTCTTTGCTGATCTGACAGCTCACTCTAAATGATGAAAAACTGTGCAATCCCTCTGCCTGCATTCCCGTGATATATTGTCTGAGGACTATCATTGAGCAGGGCTGGAGGCGGTGCTCAAGCACCGGCTGCTTGCTGATGTCGAGCAATGGAACCCTCCGGACAGCTGCCCAAAAACCCGGGACAAACCCCGGACAAACCCCCGGACAGGTTTGGATTCGGAAACCACTCAAAAACCACTCGGAAAAACTCGGAAACCACTTGGAAACCACTCGGAAACCGCTCGGAAATGACTTGGAAACCGCTCGGAGGGAAGTATGCTCGCGGGAGGGGGGGTTTGCAGCATAAACCTCGGCAAAGTGCGCGGACAACCCTCCGGACGACCCCCCGGACAACTTGCGGGGCAGTTGTTTGTCCAGCAGTCTGCCCCGCACTTTGTCCGGCGCTTTGTCCCGCACTTTGTCCTGCGCTCTGTCCCGCATATCAAGGGGGGGGTGTTTATGCAGAAGGGCGTTCGTCAAATTAAAAGTGCTGTTTTGGCAGGTTTTTCGGGCCAAAAACAGAAATTAATAGGGGGCTCTAAGACTATGTTCCTTACTACTACAAGCACAAGTGTTGCTTGTGCTTTCAAGGCCGGGGAAACTTTGTCGTCGGAGCACACGGAAAACTGTGGACGAGTTTAGCTGACTTCCTGCCTCTGTAGGCTTCTTCGCATCGGAGGGGTCTAAAGATAGCAGCACTGTGGTGGTCTTACAGAATTTCAAGTCTATCGAACCCGGCTTCCCACGCCGCCGTTGTTGGTCCAGTGGTTGAACAGCGGTGCGTTGGCTTGCGTGCGGATTCTTGCCCGCAGTTGGTGCCTTCAGTCCGGATTCCGCGACCTCGGTGGGGAACACTCGGTGGGAGCGACGTTGGAATTCCGACCTCGGTTGGCGCGGCTCGGCAGGCTGGCGTCGAGGCTTGCTGGTGTTAGGCTTCGCCTCGTCCTGCGAAGGATTCAAAATCTAAAACGCTGCGCGCAGGCGTGTGGCTGCAATACGCGCTGCAATTTGCCTCCTGGCTGCATTTCAGCAAGGTCGAGGTTTGCCAAAGAACCCCCTTTCCTTTTGTTTCGGGCCCCCTTTTTTCAAACCCCTTTTTTTCTTCTTTTTTTGCCCTGCAAAGCTCGGCTTGCTGAAATGCAACTTGGAGGCATTGTTGCAGCCACACGCCTGCACGCAGCATTCTAGATTTCAATTCCTTGCAGCAAGGTCGTTTCCTGGACAAAACCCTCCAGGTGCAATAGTCCGTTTGGGGGAATAGCGCAGACTGCTATGGATCTGTGCAATTACCTTCCAGCATGCTTGCTGCATGTGCACCATTCCACATGAGGTCCGGTACGTACCTGTAGCGTTCTCCTGGTCAAACTTGTGCAGAGACGTTTCACTGAAAAAAAGAAGCGTGCGTCCATGCGTGTCGGCGTGCGTTTGTGATAGGTTACCGACCAGGGGTGAGTCCAAGCCCGGGATGGAAGATCCTAAGAATCTCCGAGCCGTTCTTTGCCCTCCATTAAGGTTCTTCTGCATTTGGCTTAAGACCTGAAAATACAGTCAAGGCAAACATCCAACGACCACACGACTCCATTGTCGGTGTCACAAGCTGGCTTGGCTGAAAGCCTTAGTCGGCGAGCGTGTGCCCCGCAAAACGCCGGAGCAATGCATTGGTCTGTTATTTGGGCGACCAGCATTGCATTGCATTGGATTGCTGTAGGTTCCCAATTTTGGAGGTTGCGGGGCACACCGTGCGTTGCGTCAAGGACATCCCACGCGTTCCAGGCACAAGCAAGCCCACGTGAAAGCAGCACGTGGCTTGGCCTTGCCTTACAAAACCTGCGCAGCTACATTGCGTGTGTCGAGACTCTAGCACAGCTGGCGCTCCTGCAGGTCACCCACAGCCATATTGGCGGCGGGTTACTCGTTTAGCCTGCCTTCCAGCGCTGGCAACTCGGCAACACGATTGTCTGGCAATTTGAACGTTTCACGAGGGTTAATGATGCCCCCTGCTCGAGGTGCACCGCGTGCCCTAGATGCAGGGCAACTTTCCAGCGAACAGAAAAAATGCGCGCCTTTCGCCCTGCGGGTTTGTCTTTTGGAGGGTTGTTTGAATTCAAGCTAGGAGCAGTGCAGCCGGTCTTAACGTGATTGTCGACCATTGATGGATGAGGGCCATCCTTCGTGATTGGGGATTACACCGACCGCTCTCATTGGGAGATTCATGACCATCATTATACTGAACCCCACCGCGTGGTGTGCAGGTCTAAGCTTCGTGGTAAGATGAATGAGGATAGCGCAACAATGAGGCATCCGTGTAAAGTATGGTGGTGAATTCTGTTTTTCCATCCGCATTGAGCTTGTAATTTTGCGATTTGGGGCGTTGCTGCTGAGTGCCTGCTGCATTGGAACGGACCCTGCTTTTTGAGGATTGTTCTCAAGATGAGCCAGTGTGAGATGTTTGAGTGAGACAAAGCAGCGGTGCCTTATTTTGGGCTGGACACATGAGTTTGATGATGCCTTTGAGCATCTCCGGACAGAATCCTGGCCAGAATTCCGGAACGAGCATCTCGCATTCCAGTTTTTCTTGCATGAGCAAGATGCAGGAATGCCAGAAACCATGACTGCTCGATTCAAATTTTTCCGAGATGGAATCAACATCCATCCTTCGCGTGAGGGTCTTGTACATCATTATACGTCTGTAGATGTGGATATACGAATATGTATATGTGTATGTCTATGTGTCTATGTCTATGTATATGTATATGTAATGTATCGATACGGGTATGTGAATATGTATAAACATCTAAGATACACCTTAGGGTACCGATGCCTTTAACGGAGACTGATGAGTATGCAGAGGATCCTCTGGTTCAGAAGCTGATGCAAGGTTGAGTGTCCGGAATTCAAGGGCATCTCTGCAACCAGTCTTGGGCTACCATGGAAGCTTTGAACATGCTTTTCTTTTAGGGATAGTTTTATTGTTTTTCTCGCGCTTAGATTTTTATTTTCTTCTTTTCTCAGAGCTTAGAATAATGCGGTCATCACCCTTGGTTGTTATGCAAAATGTTAGATGGCCTTGATGGGCTCTGATGGTATGACAGGGTCATTGAACAGAACATGTTTGCGGGAGAAGCGTCAGCTGTTTGGTGGAAGTTCGCCACCAATATTTTCGGGTTTCTGCAGTGACCATGATTATCACGATTGAGTATTTGTCAGACTAGCATTCGGATTCAATCACACCCACAGCATGATGCACGGTTGACATTTCATGAACCGATTGCCATACAGGCTCCAACTTTACTGGAGGTAGAAGAACCGCTGCCCGCTCGACATGGTAGCGGAGCCGGTGCTGTAAGACCTGCGTCTGAGCAGGCAGCCCGGCCAGGGAGAACCACGACGGCCCGATCAAGGACCCCGACCACCAGGAGAGCAAAAGTGCCCTGGCTACCGATCCTCCTGCTGCTGGGCACGATCGCAGAAAGCTCAGGAATAGATCCGAGCTGGACCCAGGAGGTTATCAACATCGGTGGGCCTCAATTCGAGTTTGGTGGTCGGTGGAAAGTGAGAAGAGTGGAGGTGCAGCCGGCGCAAGTCAGCTGCGGCCTGGACGACCTAGGTGGCCTTGAGAAGTATAGGTACAAGGCGGACTACACGGAGGTGAAGAGGATCTACTTGGAGATCTTTGCGGAGGTTGTAAAGCGGACCTTCATCGCGATGGCCGAGCAGCTTCAACAGATCAGAGAGGTGCTGGATGGCTTGACCCGCAGCCAGGAGCAAAATCAGTGGGCCCGGAATGTCAAAGGGCCGGAGGTCTTCAAGGCGGACACCCGCGAGAGCGAGTTGAAGCAATGGGAAGACTGGAAGTTTACTTTGGAGAACTGGGTCAAAGCGGTGGACCCAGAGATGTACCTGGACATGAAGCGGGTGGGCCAGAACGCGGAGGAAGCGATCGACTGGAACGAGTTGAGCGATGTGAGAAAGGTGAAGAGCTTGAGGCTCTTCGGAGTGCTGGCTTCGTATCTGCGGGGCCGGGCACTCAAGCTCATCAAGCACACGCCGGAAGAGAACGGCTACGAAGCATGGAGGCTGCTGCTGAGAGACATGCAGCCGAGCACAAGGCAGAGGGCATTGGCTTTGATGACCCAGCTGTCGAGGATCACCTTCGCCCCGAACAAGTCCATCATGGAGCAGCTCCCGGCCTACGAAGCCTTGGTCAGGGAGTACGAGAGGGTCTCGTCTCAGGAGTACCCTGAGGACTTGAAGGTTGCATCAATCCTTTCCGCCTGCCCTGTTGGTGTGAGGACGCAACTGCAGATGATGGTGAGACGACGTTCGAGTCGCTGAAGGGTCGCATCGAACAATACGAGGCGATCACTACGAAGTGGAGCACGGAGAACGTGCTCGGCCTGCCCAGTCAGACGACCATGGAGGGCCCGACCCCGATGGATGTGGACTACATCGGCGGCTATCAGAAGGGCAAGAAAGGCAAGGGAAAGGACGGCAAGGGCAAGTACGGCAAGGGCAAGTCCAAGAAGGGACAAAGCTACAACGACTTCAAAGGCAAGGGCAAGTCCAAAGATGAGAAGGGCAAGTCCAAGGCCAAGGGCAAGCAGGACCGCAAGGGCAAAGCCAAGGAGCAGTGCTGGAACTGTGGGAAGCTTGGCCACAGATCCAGAGAGTGCTGGGCCCCAAGGAACATCAACCAGGTGGAAGGAGATTGGGCCAGCTATCCCGCTTCACCGCTGGCATCGGGTACTACCGGAGGTGGATCTACGTCAGGCGGAGGAACAAGTGCGGCGAGCTCATCAGCGAGCACTGCAACCGTCAGGATGATCAGGCTGGTCACGCCGCCCGACATGAACGAGACGAGGATGTTTGACCTGACCGCTGGAGAAGACGAACTCCTGGGGATGATCCAGGAAGTGGATGACGAGAGCTACGCGGTGCTGATGGTGAAGGGCGAGAACGATGGGCCATACTACGATGCCTGAGCCCGCGGTTGAGGAGATTGGAAAGGCCACGTTGGTGGCTATGGACTTGCAGGACGGCAACTTTGAGACGGAACAGCCTGCAGGTCGTGGCTGAGATCTGCTCGGTGGAGGCCGAGGACAACGAGCATGAGGAGGAATGGAACACGGTGGAGGTTTGCGCGCTCGAGGGCTTCCTGGGCGCGAGCTTCAAGGAGCTGGAGAAGACCCCCGGTTGGCACGTGTTGCCAAACGGCCTGGCGGCCTACAGTGATCCAGTGGCTACACAGCTGCTGGACCCGTCAGGCACCAGTGGAAGGCGAGGATGACCTTCATGAAGACCAAGGATGGCAAATGGATGCAAGTCGAGAACGTGAGCGACTACACGGAGTTGGGGAACATGGCGTTCAGGCGGTTTGGCCCCACAGAAGATCCGCAAAGGACCATCACCGTGGTGGCCCCGGCGAAGATGAAGGACTACTTCGAGGTGGACTCAGAAGTCCCGGTGGCACCATTCCCCACTACGTTCAGAGAGCTCCAATCAGATGAGCTTGGCTGGTCAGATGAGGAAGTCGGAGTTGGAAGTGAGGAGATGATGCGAGAGGCCAGCAGAAGGTCACGAAGATGAGGCAGCAGCTGAGGAGCGCGCTGGACAGCGCAAGGAGGTGGAAATGGATGCAATCAGGTACAGCCTCGACAACTGAAGGAATTGCGAGAAGGGTGTGAGAGGACCCTTTCGCCGGTTGGTGCCAGGCCTGCCTCAGCACGCGAGCAAAGGAGGAAGTCCACAGGAGAGACGCCCGGAAGGACGTGGAGAGCACCAAGACGGTGATCAGCTTCGACTTCGGCTACACCTACGTGGACGACTACGGCAACGAGAGAAGCCCAGAGGAGGTGGATGATCAGTATGGCACTGTGTTGTACATCGCTGATCATCACACAAAGGCGGTTCACGCAGTGCCTGTGCTGAGCAAAGGAGCCCCCAACCTCAAGTTGATGGTGGAGGAACTTGTCAGGTTTGGCATGCAGGTGGCTGGAGGAGACCCCGTGATTTATCAGAGCGACGGGGAGAGGTCAACAAAGCAGCTTCTCCGAGCTGTTCAGCACTGCAGGGCCAACCTAGGCCTAGAGACCGAGATCCGCATCTCAGGAGTGCAGCAACATGCCTCGAACGGGCAAGCAGAGAGGACAGTGCAGAGTGTGAGAAGGCTGGCAAATTGCCTCAGGTACTACGCGGAGGAGCAAGCCCAGGTGACGATTTTGGGCAACTCGCACGTCTACCCATGGAGCTTCAGACATGCTTCATGGCTGATCAACCGGTACCACGTGCTGAGAAGGAACGGAGGACGAGCTTCGAAGTGTGGTCAGGAAGAAGGTACCAAGGCAAAATCTGCCTGTTCGGCGAGAGCGTCATGTACCGCCACCTCACGGCATTCAAGGGCAAGCCCAGGTTTGGAAGAGGCATCTGGGTTGGAAAATCACCCTGGACAGATTGCCACATCGTGCTCACACCAGGCGGTGCTGTAGAGTCAAGGACTGTGAAGCGGATCCCGGATCAGTTCATCGGCACCGACCTGGTGATCGTGAAGGGACTGCCCTGGAACTACTCCGCCTCCGGGGTGCTCATGAAGAAGACAGGACCTCGAAGGAGGACCGCGGTGGCAGCTGATGAGGCAGAAGAGGGCGAGAAGATCGAGCTGGACAAGGCTGAGGAGCAGATAGAGGAGAAGAAGGCAAAGGAGGCTTCTGCTGAGCGACAGGCGCGAGAAGCCGGGATGGCAGTGGCTCTTGGGCTGGCCACCCCGGGACTCTTCGGAGGAGGACAAACTCCAGCCAAGACCGAGATTTGCGGAGAAGAGGAAGGCCGAGGAGCCCGATGAGGAAGGCGACCCAACAGCCACATCAAGCTCATCGGCAAGAGCCCCAGCAGAAGCAGCAACAGCAGCAGCTCGACCAGAGCCCTTAGTGTTGAGGCAGATGCCTCCGCCCCCAACAGCGGTGATGAGTGACGCAGGAGGCAGAGGAGGAAGAAAGCGCAAGAAGGGCGAAAGCCATGAGGAGATCAGAGGAGGCAGCATTCCATGGAGCTCGAAGGCTCAGTGGAGAGGAGTCACCGGCAAAGAGGAGAGGAGTTGATGAGTTCAGCATCAACGAGATTACGGTGATGCCCCATGGAGATAGCAACGCCTGGGATGAGATCGAGAACATCGGTGAGCTCGATATGAATGATTGGGGACCGGAAGATCCCGACGGTTTGGAGACGGTGGACGATGAGATGCAGGTCATGGATTTCGATCAGGAGGAGGTCCAAAGGATGGATGCGAAAGCCGAGGAGGAAGAGATATCGAGGCTTAAGGCGATGCCCGCCTTGATTGAGCTGCAGCCACATGAGGAGAACGACTACAACGACATCACCACCAAGATGGTCATCACTTGGAAGAAGAGAGAGGAGAAAGGCGGTTGGTTCAGAAGAGCCAGATTGGTTGCCAGGCAATTCCGCTGGAGCATAGATGTGGAGGACTCCTTCGCCCCCACGTCACTGATGGCGATCCCGAGGATGCTCTTGCACCTGGCGGCCTGCTGCCCCGAGCACTACGGAGTCCAGGTCATCGATGTCAAGGATGCATTCCTGATGGTTCCTCAGCCGGAGGATGAGAGAGCATCGGTGACCTACAGAGGGAAGAGATACAAGTTGGTGAGGTGCCTTCCGGGGCAGAGGACGGCAGCGAACAGGTGGTACATCCACTTCAGGGATGCTGCGCGTGAGTTCGGCATGGTGGACGACGTGATGCAGCCTACCCTGATGAAGCTGGACAGAGAGCTCTACATTAGCTTGCACGTGGACGACCTCCTGATGGTCGGCACTGAGGAGAAAAGGAGGGAGTTCATGGAGTTCCTTCATGACGAGGTGCAAGGGCCATTTGACATTGGCGAGTGCTTCGAGTACCTCAAGAGGAAGATTGACCGGACCTACGAGGGGTTCGTGATCAGGCCGGATCCCAAGCACATCGAGGACATCGCGCAGAAGGCCGACATTAAGATCGGCAACTACAAGAAGACCCCCGCGAGGAGCGACCTTGGGAAAAGAGATGGCAGTGCAGAACTGTCGGAGGTGGAAACGTCGAAGTTCAGGTCGATCGTGGGGAAGATGCTGTACATCGGAGGTGAACGGCCAGATTGCCAGCACGCCATCAACGCCTTGGCGTCATGGATGTCGAAGCCTACCAAGACGGCGTGGAGGCATGCAGAGCACTTGGCAAGCTACTTGGTGGCCACGGAGTTCTACGGCTTGCTCATCAAGAGCAGCAGGTGCGGGAAGCCCATGCTGGACATGAGAGAAATGCAGGATGTGGAGGTGAAGAAAGTGCACTTGCTGGAGGTCGTGACGGATAGCGACTACGCCGGAGACCAGAACTCCAGGAAGAGCATCACGAGCTTCCAGGTGTTCCTCGATGGCAACCTCATGGAGAGCAGAGTGAGAAGTCAGAAGAGCATCTCACTGTCAAGTGGTGAGAGCGAATACGTGGCCATGGTGTCAGGATGCAGCGAAGGACTTTTCCTTCGGCACGTGTGGTCCTTCATCAGGGGACACACACCGGCCCTGGTGTGCAGGTCAGATAGCAGTGCAGCCAGGGGAATGTGCAGCCGTGTTGGGATTGGCAGGACGCGTCACCTTGACGCAGTCATGATGTGGCTGCAGCAGAAGTGTCACGAGAAGGTGATCAGGGTGACGGCCATCCCGACGAGCATCAACAGCGCGGACATTGGCACCAAGGCCCTGGCACGCGCCAGAATGCGTGGACTCATGTTCATGCTGAACATGGTGGACGAGGACAACCGCGAGATTGGAGAGGACGAGTTCCACGAGATCGAGAGCAAGATGATGGCAGACAAGGGTGCCAAGAAAATCCTGGGCACCTTGAAAGGCGAGTATCGCATGGCTCTGGTGGTGGCTTTTGCCAATTTGGTTGCAGCCAACGGAGCCAAGGAGGAGGAAGAGCCCAATGGAGCGGGAAGTGAAGACTGGAGTTGGATGTTGTTGGCTATGGCTCTCCTTCATCATGTGGATCAAGAAGGAGATCAAGCGGATGCCCGAGAAGGCAACGGCCCGGGACTTTGAGGATAGCGAGCCGGAGGTGAGCGAGGCACGAAGGCCTAAGCAGGCCAGATTCCGGCACAAGACAGTCCGGGTCACGGCAACGGGCACCGTTTTCCATACGCACGAAAGATGCCCCCACTACAAAGGTGGACGGGCGCTTCCACACTGTGCTAAGTGCTGTGGGTTTGAAGGCAGCATGTCAGACTAGCATTCGGATTCAATCACACCCACAGCATGATGCACGGTTGACATTTCATGAACCGATTGCCATACAGGCTCCAACTTTACTGGAGGTAGAAGAACCGCTGCCCGCTCGACAGTATTCATATTTGTTGGTACCGGTCCATACGCATTGCCAATCAGTACTCTCTATTATCAAGCAGCCACATTCACCCATCGACTTCTAGATGTTTGGTTGACCATTTTCGTCCGTTATGGTTGATTGGCAATGATGGTCCGTCCTTTTGCAGGCGTGAGCCTACGCACAGCGCTCATAGAGAGGATGCGTTTGAGCTGGGAGTCTCGGAGTGCCTTCTGCTGGATCATTTGATGCCGGGTAGAACTTGAAGTTGGTGGGACATGCAGATCATTCCTGACTAAGATGTGACAGTTTCCATTCTTTTTGCAAGACAAAACTGGATCAGTGTGAATTTGTCACGGTAGTAGTACCCCCAACAAAAATGCAGCAGCGCAGGTGGGTGCACTTGTTTTCCCTTCACCTGCGGACCAGCTTTTAGCTCAAGAATCGACTGTCCCCGCATCTTCCTATCACCTTTGTCATGGCTGAAGCTGACGTGAAGCTGACCACCGTGAGCACGGGCGGCGCCAAACTGGGCTCTGTGATTCCAGCGGAGGCCCTTTCAAAGAGTGAGGGGAAGGCACGGGGTAGCAAAGAAAGGGACTGAATGCATATGATGATTGACAGTTCTGAATTAGTTTCAGGTGGTTTCACACATCTACATGTGTAAAATAACGGTAAATATGTCGGTCAGTGGAATCACTTTTCTTGCGCAGCTTCTTTTTGGTGAGACATCTGTTCGATGAGATGCATCCCTAGGCAGCCATCGCCGGGCAGTGGACAATTCCAGGCGTGGCCGAGCCGGTGGATTTGAAGGTCACTGGCTCCGATGTAACCTCCGTGCAGAAGCCTTTTGGCAACGAGCCATTGATGGCGGTCATCGAGGAAAGTGAGGAGAAGTTCGGGCTGCATGTGACCATGGGAGGATTTCCCATGAAGGCCTGGCTGAAGAAGGAAGGGCAACAGACAGTGTTGGCCTTTTCCAATGGTGGACGTTGGTCGAAGCTCTGAGGGAAATATTGATGCTAGATACCAGGGTCATTGAGGGGTGCGTTTTAGCATTTTAGCTGCCATTTTGATCGCTGTACAGATGGGTGTCATGATATTCTCCATGAGAACTTGATCAAATTCCGTGACTTGACTTCGTTTTTTCATTCCAATGGTTTTGTTTTGGAAAGTATTCATGACCCCTTGAAATCTGGCTGCATTGGCCAGTATCAGAGGCAAGGATTGATCCAGCCGATAGCTTTGCCCCACACTGGTTTCGGACCCAGAGAAAAGAGGCGCTCTATAGCTGCTTTTGGACAACCTGTCCAAGCTGATGGCAAGGATTGTAAGCCATCAACCAATGTTCAGATATTATGTACTATTCTTGCTGCCACTGTAGTATTATTGTTGTGATTTTTTTTTTTTTTAAAAAATATACTTTTTAGTGTTACGATTGTCATTTCCATTCTGAGAATTGTCAATGTCATTCACGATTGCAAGCAGAGTTACTCAACAAATATGTTGGACGACGATAACCCTTTATCTTCAAACCGATGCGTACTGCTCATCCCACAATTTCTTTCATGATTGGTGACCACTTGAACGGATCCTGCAATCACTTACGGGGATGTCTCAACATGAAGCAAGGTGCTGATGATCTGAGCTCTGACTGTTTTTGTTTCAATAGCAAGGATTGGGAGATCTTTTGGTCTTCCGTTTGTGGCTTGAGGCGATACTTGCCCTCGAGATAGCAACAGCATTTCCAGCGCCAGACCTTGATTTGCCGTTGTTTTCTTGGCTGTCTCTGAGCTGATTGGCCACCATGAAGATACTGATCATGAATCTGAAGATGAGTCCCGTCCTTAACACATTTATTTGCTGTTGATCAAGCAGTTGCATAAATGTGGCTCCGTTGCGCCGCAAAAATCAGGGGACAGCCCCAGACATTTATCATATTGGGGCATCTCATCAGTTATCAGACGTATAACTGTGGTTAGATTGGTTAGTCAGTCAGGCAGCCATTCGAAGTCATATTACTCATCCAGTACAACAAATAACACTGAAACACCGTTGGCAGCATCGTGCTTCCATTCCGTTGAGGGCGATCAAGCCTAGTGCTGCATCAGCAATTTGGGGCTCAGCATGTTCGCCAGTTTTTCCCAAAGCTATAGGGGCCGGGTAGGATGCTGTTTGGGGTGCTGGTGGAGGTGCTGTTTGACGGTGCTAGGGGGCATGCAGTTTGGGGCATTTGTGGTGCTGTTTTGCAAGATTGTAGGGGGCATGCAGTTTGGAGTGCTTGCAGTTTGGAGTGCAGTGGCAGATGCAGCCCGTAGTCCTCTCGAAGAGGGGGGTCAAGAATATACAAGGTATATCAGGTCCGAAGCGTCTGTGTTGCTTCTCAGTGTCCAACGTGTTGCATGTATAGCTGAGAGGTTGCTTGCATGAATGGTTGAGCATTTGTGTTGAACTGAATGTTTGGCTCAAGGAAAAGGGAG